AACCAGCCATTTATTGAGTATTAACTTTAGGGGCCAGATGCTGTGCCAAGTGAATGCTGTTTTTAGTGTCCTATGAGACAGTTGGGGACCTCTCACTCCCAGCCAGCCAGGCCTCGAAGTTTGTCCCTTCCTTGCTGGGTGACTGGAGCCACTCGCTCTGCTTTTCTGAGCTGCCGTTTCCATGTGGGGAAACACAGTCAGCTTCCATGGACTGAGTAGGCAGGATTAACTGAAAGCACCTGCTAAGGATGGAATGGCCCAGCAGTAAAGTCATGGGTGGACCTGTGCTGCCTCCTGACCTCTTGGAGCTCACACCAACTGTCCCTCTGCCAGCATACCCCACTCCTGCTGAGAGTCTGAAAATCACCATTGAAAGGTTAGAGGTCACACAGTCCTGGGATCAGGAAGGAGGTGAAGGGAGTCTTATATTTACCTCCACCCCTTTTCAGAACCTGAAAAAGAATGTCTCGGGCCCTGTGCCGTGGCCTAGCGGCTAAAGTCCTTGCCTTGAACGTGCTGGGATCCCATATGGGTGCCAGTTCTAATCCCGGCGACTCCACTTCCATCCAGCTCCCTGCTTGTGGCCTGGGAAAGCAGTAGAGAATGGCCCAAAGCTTTGGGACCCTGCACCCATGTGGGAGACCTGGAGGAGGTTCCTGGCTCCTGGGTGCGGATCGGCACAGCACTGGCCGTTGCGGTCACTTGGGGAGTGAATCTTCAGACGGAAGATCTTCCTCTCTGTCTCTCCTCCTATCTGTATTATCTGACTTTGTAATTAAAAAAAATTTTTTTAAAAAAAAGGAAGTTATAAAAAAAATAAAAGACTGTCTCATGGCATCAACTTCCACCATAGTCCTTTATCTGTGCTGAGCTGTAGGACTTGAGAAGAAATACAGAGAACCAGCTCTCGCACCAGTGTCCAGGAACCAGTACAGCAGCAGTACCAGGGGCCCTGAGGGAAGTGACATGAATTGGGCTCAGTGGTTAAGACGCCTCTTGGGACACCTGTGTCCCATATCAGAGTGCTGGGTCAGGTCCCACCTCTGCTAGATGCACACTCTTGAACCAGGAGGGTGCCTGCCACCCATGTGAGAGACCTAGGTTGAGTTCTGGGCTGCTGGCTTCAGCCTGGCTCTTGTGTGCCTATGGGGAATGACCCAGCAGATAGATACTCCGTATTTAAAGGCAGCTGAGTAAGTAATGTTTAAGGAAAGCAGGCTCCTGGACCAGCCATCCTTCCCCCTCCCCAGCATGGGGAGCCATCTTTTTCCTGCTGGATCCCTGCCACCTGTACTGCCTGGTGTCTTCCACATTCATTGGCGGGTGCCAACCCCCTCCCTTGCCCACTTCCCCTCTGCCTCCATGTCCCCAGCAGCAACAGCTCACATGGGGCAGGCTGGGGCTTGCTGGGGGGATGCAAAGTAGCCATGGTGTCTCAGCTGGGCTTTGATGCTCTTCTTTTCAGGTGAAAGGGAAGAAGGGAGAATGGCCGTTCCCAGGAAAGGACACAAAGCATTGCATTGCCTTAAGGGAGAGAAACAGTTATTGCTTTAAAGCCTGGTTCCCCTTAGCCAGGAAACTTTGGCCTCACCTCCAAGCACAGGTCAGTCTTGAATGGGCAGCAGGTGGCCCTGAATAAATCGGTACATGGGTCTTGTACATGGGCCTTGAGCCAAGCGTGAGAGTTGCTGGGGAGATCACCGGGCACAATGCAGGCAGCAACTTGTCTGGTGAGAGACCAGTCCAGGCCCAGGGGACAAGAACAGGGCACCTGAATTTTTTAGGCTCTTGTGTTGTTCTATCATGGTTACCTTTCTGTTTAACAACTTTTTTTATTATTATTATTAATTAAACAAATTTATCTAAAAGGCAGAGAAACCAAAAAAAAAAAAAGAGAGAGAGAGAGAGAACTCCAAATACTTGCAGCAACCAAGGCTCGGCTAGGCCAGGCCAAGGCCAAGAGCATCCTGGTCTCGCACGTGACGGTCAAGGACCAGCCCCACTCTGAGTCAGGGGAATTGGGGAGGAAATATGTGTCGGCATATTCCAGGCAGCACCAGGAAACTCATAAAATCTTTTTGGCTGTGAATTTGTGTTGTGCTGGGGAGTAGTGGCTGGGTTGAGCTGGGCCAGGCCAGCAGCAGGAACCAGGGCTTCAATGTCTGCTTCAGGGCATCCCAGCTTAGCTCTGTCACCAGCTGCTTATTCCACATGTCTCGGAACCCTGAAGCAGCCCCATCATCCTCCCCCCGCCCACAGCGATAGCCCCAAATGTGTCCATGAAGACCCGGAGGATGGGCAGCACAGAGCATGGTCCAGTTCCATATGCTGGGCACTTATAAAGCACTTGCCTCTTTTTTTTTTTTCCATTTAATTCTTCAAGATTTATTCATTTGAAAGGCAGAGGGACAAAGGAAGATCTTCCATTTGCCTGTTCACTCAGCAATGTCCAGGACTGGGCCAGACCAAAACCAGGAGCATGAAACTCTGTCAGTTGTCTCACATGGGTGCAGGGGCCCAAGCACTTGGACCATCTTCCTCTGCCTTCCCAGATGTATCAGCAGGAAGCTGGATTAGAAGTGAAACTGCCACTCAGATGGGATGCTGGCATCCCAGGCAATGGTTTAACATGCCTTACCACAACAGCAGCCCCAGTACCTTCCATTCCGCATGACCCTTAAACAATAAACCACCTGCGGCTGTTAGTGCTGTTTGGTTCACCCACAAACTCATTGAAGGTGTAGACCCAGCTCTGCCTGATGTGGCCTGTGGTGTGGTAGGGCCCTGGAAGACTGCCTGGGCGCTGAGGGTGTGGGTGAGGCCAGATCCTCCAAGGCAGAGGAACCCCAGAGCAGGACGGGAGGCGGAGACTCACCCGGCCGGGGCCATCTGCTGCTGGAATAGATTGCCTGTTGTCTGCAAAGGCAAAGGGTAAGGTCTTGGTGCTGCCCCCCCCCCCCCGAGACCAGCCCTGGGCTGGACCACCTGCTGCTGGGGGTAAGGCCTTAGTGCTGCCCCCTGAGACCAGCCCCGGGCTGGACCACCTGCTGCTACAAACAGCAGCTCCTGTCTGGGGAGCACTGCACCCGGGGCTGATCTCAGGTGATCTGAGAAACCTGGACCATTGGACCATCTGCCACAAAGCAAGTGTTGGCCCTCCTTTATACATTGCACTGAGAACACCCAGTTGTTGGAAAACCACTAAGGAATATGGGAGGATCAGAGATAAGTCTGAGTGGCCTAAACTTGTGCCGTGCGGAGAGGGGCGTTCGTTCTTGGACACCCGCTCTGAATATTGCCAAGGTCCCTTGGTGCCAAGCACCGTGAAGTAGTTAGAGCATGAGAGGTGCCTTGGTGAGTCAGTGACCTCTGAACGGAACTCCACAGAACACAAGATAAGGTGGGTACAGGGTAGGGTCAGTTCCCGGTGGCCCCATCTGGTGCCTGGGAAGGGACTGGTGACTGGGTGGCTATAGAGCCCCTCTGGGTCCAGTAAGCCAGGCCCCACCCTCAAATTTCCATTCACACAGGACAAATATCTTCCACACTGGACAGCTTTAACCTTGCACACACCTGCCCCCTTGCTCAAATGTGCGAGACAGGAGGAGGCTGTGCTTTGGAGGCCATGGCATTCCAGGTGGATTGGGCTCCAGAAGATGACAGTTGTGGGTTGCTGTGTGCTGCCTAGGCTGTGGTTGGCAGCGGCCCCAACCCTACACTGTATTGTGCATTTCCACCCACACAGGCCAGAGCTGCGTCTGTGCTGCCTTTCCCCACTGGGTGGGCTGCAGATACCCTGGCCTGCCCAGCATGGCTCTTGCCTCGGACAGTGGCATCCCCGAGGTCTTACTCAAGTGGGGTGCGTCTGCAGTAGAGCAGCTTTTAGTGGGGACTTGTTTATCAAATCTCCCACAAGCTTGAGAGGCTGGTGAGAACTGGGTCAGAGGCACTTGGCAGGTGTGAGCAGATGTGTGAGCCGTGTTTGTTGTTTTCCTTATCAGCACCGATGGTACTTGGAGAGCAGCCAGGCTGCTACTACCATGCTGCCGCTCACTCCATGTGGCTCTGCACCTGTGAGGCTGGGCCTGGAGGTCACGGGTGACCACTCTGAGTCCTGGCCCTCAAGGGGCTCACCACATGATGGCAGGGAGCGGGGTGGCGGTCATAGAGTTGTCAGATGATCAGCGCAGGTTTCCATGAGGCAGTGACTTGGAAAGTGAAATGCGTGGTCAGGGTTAACTGTGAGAATACACGGTGGGGAGTGTGTTCCAGGCGGGGAGTGTTACAGAGATGAGGCTGATGGACAAGGGAAACACAATAGGTTGACGGAACTGCTGGTCCTGGAGTCCATGGCAGAGGAGGGCGGCTAGTTTTCCCCTTGTGTGGCTCTCTGAGGCTGGGACACCCCTCAGTGCAGCACTCACGTCTCTCTGCAGCCCCTGAGCCTGGAGGAGCTGCCCCTGTGCCCCAGGAGCAATCCCCAGCTGGTGACAACAGGGGTGGGTATGGCAACATCTCTTGTCTCTTGTCCTCTTTACTGAGTGGGCACGCAGTGCTGAGGACAAGGGGGAGCCATTGAAGAGTTTTTCCACATTGGGAGGATCAGGGTCCAATTTGCAAGGTCATGGGTTATGGCCTGCTGGTTACATTGGTGGGGGCCTGTCAAAGGCGGGGCCCCTTCCTCCTAGCCACTGGCTGCGGGTGCCGACTTCTTTGTTCCAGGAGCACGTTCTCATTGAACGTAACAAGGGCCTTGTGATGGGTGGGGGTTGCTTGATGGGTAAGGAAGCAGAGGCACAGAGAGGTTGAGACATCTGGCCAGGGTCACAGAGCTGGAAGAGATTGCTCTAGGTTCTGATCCAGGTTTGGCAGATATGTGCTTTTCTCCATAAGCAGTGCTGTCTCTGCCTTCTTCTGTCTTCTCTGCCAGCACCGTCTAGGAGGTGGCCTTTAGCTTCCTGGGTACAGGGAAGTAACCTTTGCTTGGTCCCCCCCACCAGGTAAGTTTGAGGACAGGGAAGACCGTGTGCCCAAGCTGGAGCAGATCAACAGCGCGAGGATCCTGAACAGCCACAGCCTCGGCTTCACCAAGAAGGAGCTGCTGAACACAGAGCTGCTGCTCCTGGAGGCCTTCGGCTGGAACCTCTGCCTGCCCACGCCCGCCCACTTCCTGGACTACTACCTCTCGGCCTCCATCAGCCAGAAGGACAACCACTGCCACATCTGGCCTGCCACTTGCTCCCACAAGACCAAAGAATGCCTCAGGGAGTTTGCCCATTACTTCCTGGAGGTAACCCTGCAAGGTGAGAACAGGAATCTGCTAGGTCCCAGGGCAGTTGGGATCAGGTGTTCTAACAGCTGTGTCCCTCCAGAGGGGGCGTCTGAACTTTTGTATTTTTGTTTATTGTCTGAGGGACAGATGAAAGATCTGTATCCACTGGTTCGTTCCCTAAGTGAGCAAAATAGCCAGGTCTAGGCCAGGCCGAAAACCGGGGAATTCAAGCCCAGTCTCCCTGCTGGTGGCAGGGACCCAGATGAAGGATTCGAACCATCATTCCCTGCTGCCTCCCAGGGTACGCGTCGTGGGAAGCTGGATTCCAAAGCAGAGCTGGGACTGCAACCCAGGCCCTGTGCTGTGGGAGGCAGCATCTTAACTGCTGCACTCAGTGCTCATCCTGGAGGGCATGTCGCTGCTGCCTGGGGCCCAGGCACCCCTGTCATTCCCACCTCATTGGGGGTGAGGAATGAGCAGATTTGCCCCAAGTGTGTGAGCAATGACACATCAAAGAAATAGCAGTTTAGGCGCAGGCGGTGAGGACCTTGTTGACTTACACGTCACCTCGTGCTTTTTCCTAGGGAAACCAGGAGTATTGCAAATGACTGTACTCACACAGATTTGCACGTAGATCTTTCCTGAACAGCTGGAATCCACGGGTGGGGTGGGGTGGTGTGAGAGTGTGTGTTTACATCTACTTTAGCAAGCAGTTATCCCGTCTGGGGGCTCTGACTAGGTATTAGTAGGAGGAACAGAAAAAGAACTGAAACACTTGTCCCACCCGCCTTCGTCCGTTCCTCTACCCTACCCACCCTAATTGGAGGCCCTCATGGGCATGCATCCCTCTCAACTATGTAAACGATAGTAAAAATAAAATTTAAAAAAAAATGAAGTCTAGGTGTTGGGCCTGGTGCCATGGCTCAGTGGCTAAATCTTTTCCTTGTACTTGCCGAGATCCCATATGGGCACTGTCTTGGCTGTTCCAGTGCCCATCCAGCTCCCTGCGTATGGCCTGGAAAACCAGCAGAGGATTGCCCAAAGCCTTGGAACCCTGTACCTGCATGGGAGATCCAGAGAAAGCTCTTGGAGCAGCCAGGATACGAACCGGCACCCACATGGGATCCTGGTGTCTGGCAAGGCAAGGACTTTAGCCACTTGGCTTTCACACTGGGCCCAATCAGCAAGTGAAGACCAGAGTTGTGGTACAATGGGTAAAGCTATGGCTTGCAATACCGGCATATCAGAGTACTAATTCAAGTCCAGCTGCTCTGCTTCTGATCCATCTGCCCACTAATGTGCTTGGACAAGCAGTGAAAGATAAACCCATGTGGGCTCCTACCACTCATGGGAGGCCTTGGGGAACTTCCTGGCTCCTAACTTCTGGCTTTAGCCTGGCCCAGGCCTAACCACTGTGGCTATTTGGGGAGTGAACCAACAGGTAGAGGAACTTTTTCTCTCTTTCTCTATCACCCTCTGGCCTTCAAATTAATAGACAAATCCCTGCTAGTAAAGTGCTGTAAGTCAAGTGTCACTCCGAGAGCTGCAGGAAGTTCACCTGTTGGCCTTTGTGCATACGTGGTAGCAGCTCTGCTGTGTTGCCAGCTGTCTTTGTAGGACAGGGAGAGAACCTAGCAAGCCTAAGTGAAGGATCAGTGTTGTGAATTCTCAACTCGTGGAGTCATTCATTGGTTCGTTCAACAGATTTCCACTGAGCGCCTCCTCTGGGCCAGATACCATTCCTAATAATCAGTGGCTGTCATCACACTCCCAAAGGGAGCCCGTGAAGTGGCATGTCAGTCGCCCACAGCAGCTGGCAGAGCCACCCCGTGCTGTGTGGTTCTGTTGGTGGCCTTTCAGCGGGCCCCTCACTGCCCCCTGAGAGCCAAGGAATGTATATTGAAAACCTCAGCTCCAGGCTCAACATCAGAAATCTAGATTGCAAGGCAACGTGTTTGAGAAGAAGTGGCTTCTAATCTCTCCTTCCATCAACGGGGCACAGTGAACAGCCCGTGAAACAGTTCATGCGTCCACTCACTGTTGCAGCAGGCGTGGCACTCCCCAAGGAGTAGGGGCGCGGTGTGCAGGGGAAGAGGACATGGCAGAGGGGTCTTCTGATGCCTACGCCCTGTGGGATTCTCTTGCAGATCACGTATTCTACAAATTCCAGCCTTCCGTGGTGGCTGCAGCCTGCGTGGGGGCCTCGAGGATCTGCCTGCAGCTTTCCCCGTACTGGACCAGAGACCTGCAGAGGATCTCAAGCTACTCCCTGGAGCACCTTGGCACATGCATCGAACTCCTGCTGGTGTATGTTCCTCTCTCCCGATCCTCCGCATTGCCCAATACTGAGGCTCCCCAGGAGTCATGGGTGATTGCCTAATGCTGAGGCTGGTGGTGGCTCCCCCAGCCAGCTTATTTCCTGGGAAGTGGGCCCTGGTGGCTCCTGAGAGAAGTGCAGTTTGGAGAGTTGGCCTATTCGGTGGTGGCTTTGGGGTTGCAGAGTTGAATGAGTGCCCTGCCTTGTAAGCATCTAGGCTCTTGGAGCTAAGCCCCCGCCATAATCACAAGGATCATCGCACCCCCACTGTGAGCTCTTGTGATAAGTACCTTGTCCCGTCCTGGCTGCACAGCCAGCCTCTTAGCTAAGCCTGAGCAGCTTCATCTAAGAGGCTGTTTGTGAGGAGCCTTGGGACTCGGAGAGGAAGTGCTGTATGGATCAGAGCAGCTTCAAGCTGCCACAGACCCAACCCGTCTGGAATGAAGAGTTCCTGGTGGCCGCAGGGAGGAGGGCAGCTAGGGGAACGTGGCTCATGTGGTTGCACCCCGTCCACGGCTCTTCAGGGCCACAGGGAGCAGCACAGCATGCCCTGGCATCTAGCCTGCCTTTCCCGGGCACTGGGTGAAAGCAAAAGTGCATACGAGCCTGAGCAGCCACCAGCTCCCGGATGTGGGAAGCTCTGCCATGGCTGCCTTGGTCTGTTTCTTTTGCGATGTCTGTCTGGCTCCCTAGGCCCTTTAGAAGATGTCTTCTGAAGCCAGAGGACATCTTCCAGGGTGAGTGTTGATGGGGACCCCGAGGTGCTTGGCTGTGGCCTCATGGCTGTCACTTAGGGACCCTTCTCGGGTCTCTCACAGCCTCCCTTTCTCCTGGCTTAAAAAAGCCTTGAGTTTTGTTTTCCAAAAAAGTTGTATAGAAAACTTTCTGACACAGCAGCAAATCCCATTGCAGACCCATGTTCTGCTGGGATCCCTGCGACCCCCCAACTGATAGAACTTGCTTAGTGTCCCCTAGCTAAGGACTCACCTAGTTGGCACGCACTGGCCAGGAAGCGCCTGGAAAGTCATGGTGAATGCTCTGTGCTTATGCACCATGTCAGGTTCTAGGATCGGAGGGGCGAGCAAAAGTTGATGGGATCCTCTCCTGCCAGAGAATGCATAGTGGTTACCTCTGGGCGTGGACGGCAGAGATGGGGCAGAAGCAGCAGCCCGGGCTTGAGGGTTCGGAAGAACTTCAAGGTCTACATGGGCTTCTGAATGGCTACAGCCGAGTTGCAGGCAGCAAACTAAGGCTGGCAGGGCCTGGCCTAACAGGGCACCTGGCATCTCACAGGTCCCACACAGTGTGACAGGTAGAAACGTGAGTATCTGGGGTCTGACCCCGCCCCCCCAAGCCTCACTTGCATCTTTTTCTTACAGTGCCTATGACAATGTCCTCAAGGATGCTGTGACAGTCAAGAGCCAGACCTTGGCAATGGTTCCTGGCACATCCTCTACCCCCGCCCAACTACTGTTCCAGCCTGCCGCCTACCCTGCCCTCAGCCAGCCCACAGCCACCCTTGCACAGTTCCAGGCCCCTGTGCCAGACATGAGCTTGGCCTGTCGGGACTCCCACCATCCGGGAAGCCTGCTCTCTGGGGGCAGCAGCTCTTCCCTGCATACCCCCTTCTCCGCCCTGCAGCCCCTGGAGGTTTGTCCTGTGCCCGTGCCCGCCTCCCTGAGCATGCAGATGGCCGTCGCTGCTGAACCCAGGCACTGCCTTGCCACCGCCTATGGAAGCAGCTACTTCAGCGGCAGCCACATGTTCCCCGCTGGCTGTTTTGACAGATAAGCCACCTTGAGGCTACATGGGAGACCCTTGTGGAGGGAGCAGTCGGAGGTGGAGAGCTCGGCCAAGCAAGGCAACCCAGGAGGCCATCCCCAAAGACCCTCATGAGCCTCTGAACATGGGCTCCATGCCCTTTCTCATTAAAGCGACCTGGGTGAAGCATTCGATGACATACCTCACCCAAGAGCCTCCCTCTGAGAGACGCCTTCCACGTGTGGCTTCCACCGTGACTGGAGAAAGGCGTGAGCAGAGGTCAGCGCCTTGGGGACTGGCTGGCAGTCACTAGCGCGCAGGCGCGTCCTCTTCGTTGACAGCACCTGCACCCAGGGGTGTGGGCGGCTTGGTTTGTTTCCAGGGCCCCTGCAGGACACAGGCTTGGGTGCTTTTCTTTGCAGGGTTTCGTCCAGAGGGGCCTGTGCCTCTGTGGGAACCTGAGTCTGCCTGGCAAGGCCCAGTGGGCTATTCTTCCTGGCTTTGTTGTCGGACCTCAGAGCTTTCTGGGCCTTTAGAAGTTTGCCCGTGCTGCTACTGCGTCCCAAAGTGATCTAGCCTTCTGTCCATTGAGGTGTTTGTTTACATACTATGTCAGGGACTATGTGATACTTGAAATATTTCTTTAAAAAAAAAAAAAAAAAACTACTTCACTGCCACACAGCCTGTCCCATGTGATGGCTGTCCTGAGTTTTGGTTTTAACCGGGCTTGGGACAGGCCTGTCAACAACTTTGACAAAGGCGTGCAGTTGGGAGAATCGCTTTCTAGGGTCTCTGTTCCAGAAGATTCTGCATTGTAATTGCCGTGTTCACCTGTCCAACTTTGATCACCACTAGGTTGGGTTAGGGAGGGAGAAGGTTGCTGAAGGGAAAGGAAGGGTTTGAAGCAAGTAGCTCCTACCTCCCTGCTCCCCATGCTTACAGTGTGTGAGTGCAGATCCTGGCCCAGCCTGGAGTTTGGCCAGAAGTGAAAGGTAACAGTGTGGAATGTTTGTTTAGCCTGGCCAGGATTGTGGGGGACAGGGCTGGACATGGAAAGGTGACACCGCTGCTACTTGGTAAGCGATCAGTTGGATGGAAAGCCAGTGTTGGGGGTTCTGCCGTGAGAGGGGCCTCAGGAAGACTGCCGTAACCATGTGCAATATGTTTTTGTTCCGACTCGCGGCCGGCGCTCAGCACGTTCTTTGGGTTTCCTTATGAGGGGATAGATGCATCGCGTGCCTCTCAAAACTGGGAGGCACAAAGGACCACGGAAGCAGTTTTCGACAGGACACATTTTTGCTTTTTCTCTGGACTCCCTGCTGGGGGCCTGCAGCAAGGACCGGTGAGGTCAGGCAGCTGCATGCCACCGACTTGGATCCGAAGTTTGTGAAGCTTCGCGGAGCAGAGACGAGGACGTGCTGTGCCCACGGAGGGACAAGCGGCTGGGCAAGGAGCAGGCACTATTGCTTTGTCACACTAACATAGGAAACTGCACGCTCGTTTGTTGTTTTTGTTTGGTTCTTGGCCAACCTGCTTCTATTTATGTGTGACTGGTTTGGATTTCAAGTTATTATATTTTTTTTGAGGCTGGGGACTCGTGAGAGAAGGCCCCCCCCCCACCCCGAGCTTTACAGGCCAACTCTGTCCCCTGGGAAAAGGCAGCTGCAATAAACACACCACCTGCTCTTGGTCTCTCTGCTCTTTTCCTGGGCGACCCCCACCCTCCAGCCAGCTCCTCCTGCCTTCTCTGGCATTTTTTTCTGGGTAGGAGTGGGGGAGGGATCAGCCAGACTGATTACCCAAAGCTGGCTTTCCTGGGGAGATGCGCCAAGCAGAGGAGTGTGTCTGGCTGGACACCCGTCTACGCCTGTTCCTGCTGCTGGGAACACACAGCCTGGGCACACACCACTGCCAGCAACCCCAGTTCTGTGCCATGGTCAGGGGGGGTGCATCTGGCGATGCTCTCCTGGCTCACAGGGTCCCAAGGTGATGGCGGGGCATCCCGTGGCTGATTCAGCCTTCCTGGCCACCACAGCAGACCCTCTTGCCAGATAACCCATTCATTCTCTCGCCTGCTCTTGCTTGGGTGGATAGGCGAGTCTTGTGCACAGAGCCCTTGTGACCTCTGAAAGGCCACCTCATTCCTTCTTCACATCTCACAGTGGGCATTAAATTCCAACCTTGAGGGCCCAGTATGATAGTGTAACGGTTAAAGTTCTTGCCTTGAACATCCTGGGATCCATTGCAGCCACTTGGAGAGTGAACCATCGGATGGAAGATCTTCCTCTCTTTCCCTCCTCCTCTCTGTATATCTGACTTTCCAATAAAAATAAATATAAAATCTCTTTTAAAAATTCCAACCTTGAGTTTCCAAGGGGACAAAGTACATCTGACCCATAGCCACCTGTCAGCTCCAGCACCATAAAGGAGAAACCAGTAGGGGAGCAGAGAGGAGAAAAAGAAGCTTATTGTCAGGAATTGGCTCATGCGGTTGGGAGAAGTGGCAAGTTGCAAATCTTCCCAGCAGGCTGAAAATTAAGGTAAGAAGTTGATATTGTGGTTGAATCCAAAATGTATAAGGCAGGCTGAGAACTCTCAGGATTTCTGTGTTACAGTCTGAAAGCAAAATTCCTTCTCTGTAAAAATGCCATTTTCCCCCTCAGACCTTCAACAGATTCAATGGATACCACCATGTCATCTAGGGAAACCTTTCTTAAAATCAGCCAAATCTAGAATACCCTGCTGATGGGACAAAGAGCTAGGCAGCACTGTCACCACACTGACATGTCAAACAGTTGAAACTACGTACTAGCTGCTGGCAGGCAGCTGACCCAGTGTCTTACTTTTTTAAAGATTTATTTCTTATTTAAAAACTTTGTTTAAAAAAAAGGTTTTACAGAGAGCAGGGGAGACAGAAAGATCTTCTGTCTGCTTATTCACTCTCCAAGTAGCCGCAACAACCAGAGCTGAGCCAATCCCAAGCCAGAAGCTTCTTCCAGATCTCCCGGGGGTGCAGGGTCCCAAGGCTTTGAGCCATCCTCTGCTGCTTTCCCAGGCCACAAGTAGGGAGCTGGAAAGGAAGTGAGGCAGCCAGGATGTGAATTGGTGCCCATGTGAGATTCTGGCACATGTAAGGTTAGGATTTAGCCACTAGGCTGTATTATTGGGTCCTGAAAGGCTGATTTTATAGAGAGAAGGAAAGATAGAAATCTTCCATATGCTGGTTTACTCCACCAATGGTTGCATCTAAGCTGAGCAGAGCTAGTCACAAGTGGGTGCAGGGCCCACCATGGTAGCGTAGTGACTAAAGTCCTCGCCTTGTACGTGCCAGGATCCCATATGGGTGCCAGTTCTAATCCCGGCAATCCTACTTCCCATCCAGCTCCCTGCTTGTGGCCTGGGAAAGCAGTCGAGGACGCCCAAAGCCTTGGGACCCTGCACCACATCTGTGGGAGACCAGGAAGAGGCTCCTGGCTTTGGGTTGGCTCAGCCATTGTGGTTGCTTGGGGGGTGAATCAGACAGAAGATCTTCCTCTCTGTGTAACTGACTTTCCAATAAAAATAAACAAGGCTTTTGGAAAAAGTGGGTGCCATCCTGAGCCATCCTTCACTGGTTTGCCAGAGCATTAGCAGGGAGCTAGATTGGAAGTAGAGCAGCTAGAATTAGAACTACAGGACTGGCAGTACAGGCGGAGGATGAACCCGTTGAACCATTGAGAGCCTGTCAGCTTTAATTGATGCTGTGCTGAAGATCAATGCTGTGTTGCATTCTTATTTCGGGAATGGTGAGTTGTTCAAACTGTGTGGTAGAACTGATGGGATGTAGCATCAACCATCATAGAAAAGGCCAGATTTCTCCTCTATTCTGCAGGCACTCCCGTAAGGGCCTCTGTCCTGCCCTCGCACACTTAGGTCCCAGCAGAACCATTCCCAAGAGCTGGCATCAGCTTGGACCTGAGAGGTATTTGCTAAGCTCAGATACTTTCCAGTGGGGTGGACGAATGCAGCTAGAAGCCAGGGGCAGCACTCCCTATTTTCTGGGTACTGTGCCAGCTGCATCAGGAAGTGCTCAGTTTGGGGGTGTTCCTAGACAAAACAACCCCTGGGTTTGCCGAAAGTATCCACTTCACTTTAGACAAACCCATCTTTGGACTTAAATTTCCCTGTCTGTTGTCATGGAGGTGGCAGGGTTGCTGAGTAGTTCTGAGTTCTGCGCTCCTGGTTTCCTGTCTTCGACCATTTAAATCCACTTTGGTCTCCCCTACATGTGGGTATTCCATGTAAGCTTAGCTCCCGTGCTGGGAGCTGGCTAGGAAAGTGTCAGGCACAGAGGAGGACTTCCCAGAGCTGACATCTGAATTGCAAACATGAGACAGTTGCAGAAAACCTGGAGCCTGGAATCTGTCCGGCTTATCAACTTCCCGGGGAGCCAGAGGTGTGATTTTGGAAAATGCAAGGAAGGCTGAAATGTGCAGAGCCTGGTTCCAAAGCTCCTTTGCCTTGGAGAACCTGCTGCTCTCCAGGCTCTTGTTGCAAATGTTCTGATTAGGGTTCGAAGTAGGTGCAAGGTTCCAGGTCTGCAAGCTCAAAGTCCACCTTGGCTTGGGGAGATGTTTCCGGTTCAAGTGTCTGTAGGAACCAGTGATTATATCCGGCTGGGTGAAGGCATGGAGGCCACACTGAGTGAGGCCGGGGTCCTCTAGCAAATACGGCTTCCACTCAGCTCTGACCAGCTGCTCCCTCCCAGAGGCTCTGAGCTCTCAGAAACTTGGAAACTTGCCCTTCCTAGGAGATACGACTTCTAGGAATCAGGAAAATTAAATTGAAAATGTTTTAGCAATAGGAAGCCAATAAATATATAACTTCTAGTGTATAGACAAGAAATTTTGATGCAAAAAAAAAAAGTTGAAGTCCATGCCTATGGAGAACCTCAAGAAGTTTTGGCAAATGTTTTATGAATGCATTGCACCAATTTCTATCTAGGGGGTGTTTTAACTTTTCATTTTCCATGAGCTTTCTGGAGTCCCCTCACATTTCCACCTAGTGCCCTCTCCGTACCTGGGAGCAGAGCCGAGCCTGTGGCTTGTAACCTCTCTCTGGCCCAGCTCACACTCGGCACCAGGCTTGTGCCAGGCCAGCTCTGACTGCTCTTGGAGCTTCTTTAGGTGCTGCTTGTGCTGCTGGAGACCAGGCCAGCAAGGAGGCAGGCCCGTGGCTGTTTCCCAGCTATGCAGACATGGGCAGAACACCACCTGCTTGCACATCTCAGCTTTTTCGTCTGTTAAGCAGAAGGCCAAGCGCTTTTGGGGAGCACATCGCAGTGGCAGCTCCCTGCTCCCATCCCAGGGCCTGGTCCTGCAGATCTGGGCAGGGAGACTGCCAGGCAAGCTCGTGCTGTTCCTCCTGCTAAAAAATCCCTCAGCATGTGTGTCCTGAGCATTGGAATTGTCCAGGGAAGCCCTAAGGAGCTCTTCCAGGAGCAGTTGCTGTGTCACAGGCCCTCCTTCACCGGCTCTCCTCTCAGGCTGTCCTATTCTTACCCTGGGGCCTCCAGGAGCCACTGTTAACTGTCCTAGCTGAGGATATGGAAATCGGAAGCTCAAGGTCTCACCACGTGTGAGTCATAGGGCGAGTCATAGGACTGGGTTTCACACAGATCCCCGACTGGAGGAACCCATGTGGTCTCTCGTGCCTTGTCTCCCCTAGGTGACACTCAGACCAAGGTGCATTCAGCGAATCTCTGCCTAACCATCCGGAATACATGCACCTGGTAGCTGTGGGACAGCAGGTAGGAGGGATGATGCGCCCCCTTGTGGTGGTCATTGAAGATGCTTTAGGTAGCTTTCTTCCTGCCAGGTGGAGTGGAAGTAGAGATGACTTCCAAGGTCAGGATGAAGTTCGTGAATGGCCTAGGGCAAGGGCCCCTGAACTGAGGTCCGTGGAATGAGTAGTCACCACTGCATGTTGAGCACTGCCCCAAAATGATGAAGCTCCTCTTGCTTTTCCGAAGCTGTTGGTGATTTTTATCCATTATCCCTGAGGTGGCTCTGTAACCGTTGAGAGGAAGTCTTACTTAACCTAGCGGACACATGAACGAGAGGCTCCAGGAGGACCTGCGACTTAGAGGTGAGTGGCAGAGGCATTCCTAACTCTTGCATTCCTGATGTGAAAATAGTAGTTGGGCTAAGGTCACAGTGCACGTGTAGCCATTGCATCAGGTGGCTGTCATTCCCCCCACTCACAGCTGAGGAGACCGACGCTCAGAGGAGTAGATGAACTTCCCCCAGGGTGACACGGCTGCCAGTTAATAGAAGAGCAATCCACCCCCTAGCCATGTGACCCCAAGGTCCTGGCTCTCAGTTGCCTCCCCTTCTGGCTGCCCCAGCCTCCCTGCCAAAGTACCAGGAGGGACGAGCCTCCACTCCAACCCACCTCACTCCATGTGTCTGCAGAAACCAGGGCTCCGACCAGCAAGTGAGAGCCAGCCTCCTGACAACTCCCAGAGTCTCCCTTGCTGCTGTGTGACTCGGGGTGAATATCTTCCCCTCTTTAGGCCTCGGTTCCCTGATCTGTGAAATGGAGCCACAGGGAATAGAGACCTGTGTTTCTAGGAATGTCTGTCTAGAACAACAATGACCTAGGGATTTCTCCCTTGCCCACAACTTGAAGTTGTCCTTGAATCAACTATAAGCGTACAAACTCTTTCCTTTCTCTCAATCTTCAGCCCAATTATGGTTAACTCTGTTATTTAGAGACTTATTATCCAGGCTCATTATAACTAATTATTCAGTCTGCAGGGGAAGCAACAATACTGCTAGTTTAATTTAATGCTTACCTAGTTCACTTAATTGGCAATACGTCTTAGCAGAACACCGGACTTCACGGGGCCCTGGTGTGGTGGGTGAGTGGGGAGAGGCTGTGTGCTGCTCTTGGAAAGCTAAGCAAGGAATCAGGAAGAAGCTGCAGGGAGGAGGCACGCAGTGCTGGCTGGGAAGCCAGGCCTGGACCTCTGGCCAGGGAGACTGAGCCCTGGTGTCTCTACTTCCAATGTAGCTCCGTGCTAATGTACCTAGTGAGGCTGGCCCAGTTCTTTGACCTCTGCCACCATGAGGGAGACCTGGGTGGAATTCCAGGCTCCTGACTTCAGACTGGCCCAGCCCTAGCCCTTGGGTGCCAAGTCAGGGTTCTGGCCAGGCTCAGCAGCACTCTCAAGGAGAGGAGAGAATGTAAATGGGCCAAGTCATTGCCCTGGGCAGGGATTGCTCAGATCGCTATTCTCCCTTCCCACTCAGGGCGTGCAGTCTCCCATCAGTCTCGGGACTTAGGCTAAATCTGAATGCTGCCTCAGAATCCTCCTTAACCCAGGGCTCCAGGTACCCACCAAGGAATCAGTATGACCCTGCTGACCGCTTTCCCAGCCTGCTGCAGACTCCCGCAGCTCCTCTCAGGGGCCCCCAGACACCCCAGTCCCTCCTGTCACCCTCATCACGCCATTTGCCCAGAGCCCTGCCATTTTTTTTTTAAGATTTATTTATTTTTATTGAAAAGTCAGATATACAGAGAGGAGGAAAGACAGAGAGGAAGATCTTCTATCAGATGACTCACTCCCCAAGTGACTGCAATGGCTGAAACAGAGCCATTCCAAAGCTAGGAGCTTCTTCCGGGTCTCCCAAATGGGTGCAGGGTCCCAAAGCTTTGGGCCGTTTTCCACCACTTTCCGAGGCCACAAGTAGGGAGCTGGATGGGAAGTGGGGCCACCAGGAATAGAATTGGTGCCCATATGGGATCCCGGGTGTGCAAGGCAAGGACTTTAACCACTACGCTATCACGCCGGGCCCTTTTTTTCTTTTTTCTTTTTTTGAGTCCTGCCATTTGTATCCCTTCTCCTGGGTCTTCATCAATCTTTTTATATCCCTTTCATAGCAGCAGGTAAACCAAGACCCAAAGGGATGACTCCACAGCAAACAATTGTCAAGCCACAGCTTAGCTGAAATGCCTTCCCTGGGTGAGCCTGGGTGCATTCATCCTAGTGTCTGGACCAAGTGGGAGCCCAGCAGTCAGGGCTCTTCCTGCAGGTACACCTGTGGCCCATCGTGCTGTTTCCCTGCTCTCTTATCCATGCAGGCTGAGCATCTGCAGCGTGCAGGTAGCAGGAGGGACTAAGGGTCCACAGATACTCCACCTTGGCCTCGCCCACACTCCTGCTGCCCTCCATCACAACAGTGCTTAACCATCCTCAAGGTGTTCCCACCCTCACCCAGCCATAGGCTGTCCAGAGACACCCAAAACCAATGACGCTCTGAGGTGTGCAGTGTCTGTTCTCAAATCAGCTTTATTGTTGGGGTTAAAGAGGCCCTGGGAGCCCGACGTTGCTGCTCAGGCCAGGCGCTTGCTCACACGCTCGAAGGTCACGCCCCCAATGCTAGCGACCTGGAAGAAGCAACCGGAACAGAGAGGGGATTCAGGAACGTCATTCCTCACCAACAGTGCTGGGACCTGAGAACTGCCTCAAACCAGGTGATGAGGCCAGTGGGTCAATGCTGCTGTTCTGGGAAGAGGACCAGTTGCAAAAGCGACTCGTGCCCCTTCACTCTTGTTACCCTGAGAACCTTCTGTCACCTTATGAAGCAGGACAGAGGCCCTTACCACTCACTGTGCTCTTGGCCTGCCCAGCCTCCAGCTCCAAGAGTGAAGTCTCAATTCCCATTCTTTATTATGCACTCTGACTAGGCTACTTTGTAATAGCAGAAAAGGCAGTGCTCTGTCTCCTGGCAGGGGCTTCTAGCTAATCACACAGGACCCTAACCAAGGAAGACCAGCCTGAAGTGGCAGGCATGGGGCAGCGGGAGTCAGGCACTCAGCTTCTCTGGGCCTCAGCTTCCTCAACTGTTACAGGAGTCATGGTGTAGACTCAGTGTGGTGAGAAAGCTTAGCGGCTGTCAGAGCTGCTGTGGATTCTGGGTGTACTAAGCTTCCATTTTCTGTTCCATGCATTCACTCGTGCCAGCCATTGCCCTCGTGCCAGCCCTGAGAAGCTGTCCCCTACGTGTAGGGAAGCCCAAGGCCAAGAGGCCATACATAACCTCTGCTCCACAGTGGAAAGGGCACCTGCCACATACTTGATGATGGGAAAGCTATGGGTTAGCAGGAGATGCAGGCAGTGGGGCTCAGGACTCTGTCCTTTGAGACCCACAGTCTTTGCATCTGCATGTCAGTTCTGACACATGGCAGCAGAAAGCAGCCTTCCCATGGGCAGAGGGCAGACAGCATATGAGAGCCCAAGAGGAGGCAGTGAGCCACTCTAAGCAGGGAGGGGAGAGGGACTTGGCCTTTGCATAGACTCCTGAAGGGTGTTAGATTTGACAAAGCACACAGGAGAAAGGGGAACAGGGATTACAAGGAAGGAACCAAGTGAGCAGAGAGGGAGGAAGGAGCAGGGGCCTGTGGGATGGGACAGTGCAAGGGCAGGCCAAGCATCCAAGGGCAGCAGCAGCAGTGTGAAGTGATGTGAGATTTGCATGTGGGACAGATGGAAGAGAGAGTACAGGGAGAGGGGCCAGTGGAAGGAGGCTGGGACTCTGGTAGAGGAGAGGGAGCAGGTGGCTGGGGCTGCTGCTGGTAGCCGGAGGCTGCTCCCAGCAGGCGCTCTCTTTGATGTAGAACAACGGGAGTGCCCTGGCTGGCTCTGAGCTGCTGGAGCTGGAGGTGGGAGATTTGCAACCAACACAGTTTCTCTTATTGCCTCTCCTGATGCAGGTGTGTGCCTGAGTGTACGTGTGTGTGTGTGTGTGTGTGTGTGTGAGAGAGAGAGAGAGAGAGAGAGAGAGAGAGAGAGAGAGATCATGACCCTGAACTCTGGGCAATGCTCACAGCATGCAACCACCGTGTCTGGAGCCTCCAAGAAGCAAGAGGGAGGCTTGTTCATCCTGGGAAAGGCAATGCTGTTGCTGAGCACACACCTACTTCCGTTCCCTTCCTCACCTCCACCCTCACAGCTGTTCTCCCTGCAGACCTCACTGGCTGAGAGGCTCCACTTCCCTGGTAGGGGCAGGACCTGCAGACTGGCGGTCCCTGTGGGACTGTATCTTTGACGTGTCCTCCCCACAGAGCAGCTTTCACCCAGGGGAAGGATCATCCATTTTGTTGACTCTCCCTGTTTTTCTCAACACTATATACCTATTTACTTTAAAATTAGACAGAGGAGAAGTCCCACCGATCTGCAAAGAGCAGGCAGGCAGATCTGCCTGTGGCACCTGTCGCTGGTTGGCCTTGGGTGGATCCTGTGCTTTCCCTGCGCTCTGTAAGGCTTCTCTGCAACAAGGGACTCCTGTGGCCTCTAGGGTCATGTTAGGGATTACAGGCTTGTCTTCCTTCCTCCCCAAACTCAAATGCTGCTACTGTAGCATCCAATGCAGTGGTGTCTAGAGGTGTGATGTGTGTGTGGGTGTGTATATGTGTGTGTCTGTGTGTGTGTGTTTAGATTTCAAGGATGGAGTCCTCTGATGGGAGGAAGAAGAGATGTGCTAGAGCTGGTCCATCTCACTAGCAAGTAAGGAACCCAGGAAGACAGCCATAGCCAGGCTGCACTTTGCTCCTGGCCTTTCTGACCTCTCCAGAACTGTGAGAGAGAAATGTCTGTTGCACGCCCCCTTCCGTCTGTGGCAGCTTGGCATAGCAGCCCAGAGTGACTGGGGAAGGTTGTGTGTTCTTTTTCTATAGGTGGAGCTTGGGATGAAGGTGACAAGGACATGAGAGATGAAAAAGGGGAGGCCAGCAGGTGTGAATCATACCTCCCTCTCCGGCCCCTCCTCCTGGAGAGCTGGGGGAGGTGGGAGGAGTCTCTTCCCCCACCCAGGCTGGAATTTCACCACAGAGAAGTAAAGGGTAGGTGTGCCTTCTTGCTTCTACCTGGGCTTGGGGAAAATTCTGGAAGCTGAGAGGGAAATGGTGGGAGTGAGATGAAGAGCCTGTCAGGCAGCACCTCACAGCTTCTATAGAGTGCTGGGTGTGGTAGTGAGACGTGTGTGTGTGTGTGTGTGTGTGTTGGATATGCCAGCATTACAAATGTTTTAAACGGTGTTGCCAACATTTAATAGCATGGAGAGTTCAAAGGGACATGAAAATTTCCATGGGGGAAAAAAAACCAGATCTAGTGGGAAGGGCCCAAAGCGCCTGTGGAAATGAAGAAGGAGTGTTGGCTGCCCGGGGAGCAGGGACCCACCTGAGTCACCTCTTTGTTTATGTTCTGGGATGGGTCCCACGGGTTTCCAGTTTTGTGCCCCTTAAGGGACTGAATGGGAGGATTAGCGTCCAATCTCGGCTTTTCCTCAAAGCCAGGTGCCCTGCCACTGATCGAGGGGCTTCCCCATGCCTCGACTGCCTCAGCTGTACGATAGTCTGAAAAATTCCCACCTAGGAGGATCTGTGAAGTGCACTGAGACCATGTATACCCAGGGCGTGGCTCAGAGCGCACTGCCCAGCCACCTGCTGCCGGGGGACCCCTGCTGAGGCCTGAAACAAACTTGTTTCACAGTTCTGAGGGGGAATCCCAGAGCAACCAGCCAGCTAGGGACCAGCAGGACACTCACCTCCACCAGCTTGTCCCCCACGATCTCCGAGGTGTGCTGGTAGTTGGGAAAGCTTGCCACCACCTTGTTGCCCTCCATCTTCACGATGGCCTGGAAGGGAAGTACAACACAAGCCTGGGTCAGCAGAGCCCTGGCATGCAGGCCAGCAATGCCCACTAGGGATCTGCCAACCAGTATACAACTGCATGTTTTCAAAGACTGAGATAACCTTGAGCAAGTCACTGACCCTCCCTCTGCCACAGTGTGTTCATGTCTAGAATGGAAGTAGAGGTGGGTGTTTGGTCTAATGGTTTAAGATGCTGCTTGGGCCTCCAACATCCCCTATCACAGTGCCTGGGTTCGAGTCTCAGTTCTGCTTCCAATTCCAGCTTCCTGTTAGTGTACATCCTGGGAGGCAGCAGCTGATGAACAAGCAGCTGGGCCCCTGCCATCCATGTGCAAGAACCAGAATGAGTTCCTGGTCGCTGGCTTTGGTCTTGCCCTACCTAGGTCATTGCAGACATTTGGGAAGTGAACCAGAAGATGTGAAATATTTCTCTCTCTGTTGATGAACAACTTAAATACTCCATGTAGATTATATCCACTTGTGAATAACCTAATTTCAGTGGGAGTGATCAACTAAATTCTAGTCCTTCATTCTTCTCAGATTCCATGAAGATTTTAAAAAGAATAAGGCAATTATATGGTGACCCAGAAAGCCTTCTAAGGAGATTTACATTTTTTTTAAGAACCCAAAGGCAGAATATGATTGTTATGATGACTTGTTTTCTAACTCTGCAGCCCCAGGAGCCAGATATTCTCAAGTTCGTGGTCACAGTCTGCAGAGGAGACCAGAACAGATAGAAGACCTGAAGGACCCATCTGGCCAAGATGAGGACCAACAGCCCCTGCTGTGGTGTGTACCCTGGTTTTGGTCCACGAGGCCCATGTGTTGAAGGCTGGGTCCCTCATGTCTTATACAAATGGTACTGAGAGGGGGAACTGATCTAATCATGGTGCTGGAGGTGGGGCCTTAGAGAGGTGACTGATTGGACGGGGCTGTTAAGAAGGGGTCCTGTCATGGAATCACGGTGGCTAAACACACGTGCTCCCTCTAGCCATGTGCCACTCTCTGCCGCTTTGAGAATTTGCCACCAGGAAAGTTTGTTCCAGAGACTGAACCAATGGGGCCTGCCTGGCCTTGGCAGGTAACTCTCCCAAACTGTGGGTCTTCTCCTGGGTCAGAAAGCTGGCTCAGGTGTTTCTCGATAGTCATGAACCGAACTGCTCCAGCTACCCTCTCTTTTTCTGCTACCCAAGCTTGCAGCTTCAGATTCAGTAGAGAGTTTGGGAAGTAGCATGGCAAGAATGATCCTGTTGTATGGAACTAGCTGGCCTGGAAGTGGAGGTCTGCACAGTTGTATCCTCAGGCAATCAGACATGCAGGGCAGGAGGGAGGAAGATGGCAGTGCACAGAGCTCATAGCACATGGAAGCACCACAGGGGACCCTCAGGCCTCTAGAACTTGTGACTCTATACCTGGGGACACAGCTGCCTGTATCCCAGAGGAAGGCTTGGTTACTGCAGGGACTGTAGGTTCTGAAGGCGTGAGTGCAACCCTCAGCAGCAAAGAGCTGTAGCTCCGGTGTCTATCCTGTGGCCTCTGGCTGTATGGCCTGGACACTTTCTCAGCTTTTTTGAGCCTCAGTTTCTTCCCCTCTGAAACAAAAGCAATGACTAACCCTCCATCCCTATCATTCACTTTGTAGCAAGTAGCAGGCTAGGCACTTCCAGGCTGCGCACTCTCTCGGTGAATCCTGGAGTCTGGCCCTTGTTCCACTCTGCCTATCAGAGGCCTGAGTCTCAATGGGGCATGAGATGATTTACTCCAGGCCCGTCATGCTTTACAGACCCAGCTGTGTTTGAATGAAGGGCCTGGATTGTTTATCTCTAGGCCAAGCTGGGAGACAGCAGCAAAGAGTGGAAGCCAGGACCACCTGGCCCTGCTGTGTGATGAAGGACAAGCTATTTCATTTCTATCTGTAAAATGGGGAGAGTGCTCGCAGCAGCCTCATTAACTTCATAGAGATGCATGATCTATTTGTCAAGTGTCTGTTATATTAAATGCCCAACGAATACTTGCTACTTTTTATCGCTGTAGTATCCGTTATTAATGGCTGTTCGCAGCTGTTAAAAACCAGGAGCAATATATTGCTAGGTAAGCCCAGCTCTTCATGCTAAAGAAGAGAGAAGAGCCTCAGTTTAGGAAGCCAGGAGCCATGTCTGAGGTGCTGAGGTTGACCAGGGGTTTAGGTAAAGAGGAAGAGCAGCCAGTAGCCTCTCACCTTGAACTTCCTGCCCCCGAAGGTCTGTATTTCACTTTCCTTGCCGATGGTGAACTTGTTGGTCATGACTTGTCCCCCAGATGCGTGATGGGACCAGGTGAAGTCCTGCCCGTCTTGCTTTATCTCGGTGACGATTTTCACGTTGCGGCTCTTTTCTATCACATCGCTGGAAAGCCCTGGGCCCAGGGAGAAGCGTTGGTTACAACCCTGTGGTTGGGGAGAGAGCCTTCCTCCCAGCGGCAGCCCAGCACTGAGGTCAAGAACACCACTGTGCCTGCCCTCAAATCCCAGCCCTGCCGGGAACCATGTGTCTTAGGCAAATCACTGTCTCCCCAAGCCTCAGTGTATTCATCTACTAAAGGAAAAGAACAAGGCCCATCTCAGAGGGTTGTGGCAAGGAATAAATTCAGCATTACTGTGCCTTACATCCTCCTGGCACCTACTTAGTGTTCAGCAACGAACCCGAGTTGATGGTCATCTAACTGAAACAGAGACTTGTCCAGCTCACAACATTCCAGAATGCCTGGGACCTTCTGGGTGTGCTGGCTGATGCTTCTGTCTTATAGAAGAGGCCACGCCGCCCCAGGGATGGAGGAGGGAGGGGGCAGAATGAGGTCCAGGGGTGAGCTGAGCTCACTTGTGTTCCTCAATGCTGGTCAAGTCACAGCTACCCCAAGGCCACTATTGAGCGTGGGAAGTGCCCTCGCCTCTCCAGGAAACGAGAACCCTGCTCTCAGGCCTGCTGTGGCCCCGCAGCCCGGCAAGGTGTGGCCACTGGGAGAGGCAGGGACTGTCCTCTCAATTGCAGTTGTACTGCTTGAGACTTGGAGAGTGAGCACAGATTCCCATAGATTACCAAACCTGCTGTCTGGCGGGTTTCTGGCAACAGAACAATGTTACAGATCAAGCTGTGAGAGAAGGGTGGTATCTGTGGTCCCTCCACTTATGCCAACAAGTACAAACAGGCCTATGTTTGCTGAACGACTGAAAGAGTGGCTTGCCAAACTTGGTTAGTCTAGATACTAGCCCGTTGGTCACCTTTCCCGAGGCAGGATATGATAACACCACACATTGCAGGGTCCTGAGTGCTAATGACTTTTGCCACACACAGACCAGTGACACTGAGGTCCCCCATCAGTTATCCTGGGATAGATCTTGCATGTAGCCCACATTTAGTCAATGATTAAACACATAAACATAAAGTCTCTACTTCACCAGTCCAATCTCTACTCTGCCAGTTACTATCTGTGTGACCTCAGATCAGTTGCTCAGTCTCTCTGGGCATCAAGTTCTCCATCCAGTGCAGTGGAGATAGTATTATTCTCTAAGTGTTCTAAAGTCGGTGAGTGTCTTACCAGTCTCTGTCATCAGAGCCTAGCACAGGCAGTTGCTCAACCAGTGAGTGAATAAGTAAATGAAAGAATGGATGAAGTCCTGTCCCAGTTGATCCCAGTACTTTGAGTTCCTGGGCCAGAGCTGGCTATGGAAACCTGTCCCCACCCAGGGGAGGCATAGTGAGGGGCTCACTCACCCAGGAGCTTCATGAACTCGTCATAGTTCTTCTCACTCTCCATCTCGAACTTGCCGCTGAAGGCCATGGTGCTGAGGATGCTGGAGGCTTACGAGCAGAGCAAGCAGGAAGACCGTGGTGCTGAGGGGTCTGGTGTCCCAGCTTATAAACTCTCCCAGCAGCTGAGGCTCAGCCCCTAAATCACCCCACTTTCCCCTCCCGCCCCTAAAGAGGAAGCACTGTTTTATGACACGGGCAGGACCCAGAGGGGCAAGAACCTGCAGGTTGTTCACCTGGGCAAGTGCTGGCTGTGATTCTATCGCTGCCGTCAGCAAGGTCAGGGTCAGGACTGCAGAAAGGTTTGAGGAGTCATCCACTCCTGCCAACCTTCCCTCTGTTCATTAATGCCCTACCCTCTCCCCAAGCTCTCATCATCTCCCTCATCGCCCCCCCCTCCGCCCATTCAGCCAACAAATGCCTTGAGCACCCACTACTGCAAGCTAGACCAGCGCTGGGGAACCAGCTGAGACATGACACCTTTCCCAAAAGCACTTCCACTCCAGCTCACAAATAGGTCACACACCTGTGGAGGGGATAAGTAGGGCGTGATGTGCCCCCACAAGAAAAACTGATGTGTGATGTGGGAAATGGAGAAGGAGCAATGGTGTCCAGCAGGGGGAGCATGCAGGGAGCTGGTGCACCTGTGGGAGGAAGTGACGTTGGAGACCAGTGTGGAAGAGACTGGTAGGATTTGGATGCGTATAGAAGCAGGGAGGTTGGACAAGCCTGAGAGCAAAGAGTTAGGAAGTTCCAGGATGAGAGAGAAATGTAATGAAGGCAGAAAGGTACACAGTGAAACAAACATTGTATTTGGCTGGGCCGAGAGCGAAGATACCAAAAGGGCGCAGCCAGTACAACCAAGAGCAAAGCAGGGTCCATTCTCCGTGAACTGCCAATCATTTCTGTCCAACACAGAATCTGTCCAGTTGCTTACCCCCAGCAACCAAGTGGGGTCTGAGCAGGTGCAAAAACAGCATTTTACCATTTTCAGTCTCCTAATTGAGATGCTTTTCCTGGGCCAGGAGTCTCATTTTAATCTAACATGCACACAGATACACGCCCCATCATAGATTATTCAGATATTGAATTATGCATTAAGATTTCAAATAATTCATAGCAAATGACAATCCTGCCAGAGGGTTCCTTGATATCTCCGTTTCAGATCTTTCCTTCTGGATTTGTCACACATGTATTAGATTCTTATGCAAATGAAATCATGCTGTTCTGTTCCCCCCATTTTATGTCATGGTTTAGGCACAGGTCTCTATCATTACATGAAAGTGTGTCACACCCTTCTTAACAAATCCAGAGTATTTTCATGTAAATGTCTCCAATAATTCATGTCATGCTTGCTAGATATTTAGGTTGTTTCCAATATTTCTGTTATAAATAACTTCTACCCTTTGGTGAACATGTCAGAGTATGTGTGAAGACCATTTGCTAAGAAGGAATTCCTAGCACGACTCTCGGATTTAAGGGTATGATACCTGTTGCTCTGCTACCTTTCAGAGAGGCTCCTGTAGTTTACATTCCCGCTAGAACATCCGAGGATTTGCCCCCATTAGTGATAACCATGACAAACTCACAAGGACCCTGTGGCCTGTGCTTCTTGAGCATTTGTTCTGCAGTGAGACCCTGCACAGTGTTCTGCCCGGGTTGCCTTATAGAACCATTAGAATAACTCTATGAGGTCCTGACTAGTTTTGCCTTTTTGTTGCCAAGCAGTGAACGCAAGTTCGGTGAAGTTAAGCAACTTCTTGCCCAAAGCAGAATCCCTGTGCCTAGTTACCATCAGAACAACTTTCAACAGCTTTTATTATTATTAAAGATTTATTTATTTTTTTTTTATTGGAAAGTCAGGTATATAGACAGAAGGAGAGACAGAGAGGAAGATCTTCCATCTTCTGATTCATTCCTCAAATGGCCTCAAAGGCTAGAACTGAACTGATCTGAAGCCAGGAGCCAGGAGCTTCTTCTGGGTCTTCCATGTGGGTTCAGGGTGCCAAGGCTTTGGGCCATCGTCTGTTGCTTTCCCAGCTGGATCAAAAGTAGAGCAGCCAAGACTCAAACCATTGTAGGCAGTGACTTAACCGGCTGCACC